AATTAGCAGATGGAAGAATACTCTCTCTCTCTCTCTGCCTCTCCTCTCTCCATTGTGCACATTTGGGAAGAGTACCATTGGATGGAAGTCCTCTTTCTCTTTCTCTGACTCTCCTGTCTCTGTATAACTCTGACTTTCAAATAAATAAATAAATCTTAAAAAACAGACCACCTCCTTCAATATATCAAGTGAAATTAGCTAGGTTGAGGATGAAATGTAGTATATGGTTTTATTCATATATGAAATCAAAGAAAAAATGGATTTCATAAAAATTGGAAGTACAGTGATGTAGGCTGAAGTGAGGAGAGCTGAAGACAGGACAAGGTTATAAAATTATTTTTATCTATTTATGTTTTTCAAAAAATCCTAGAAGATAGGATTTGGAATGCTTCTTCCATAAAGAAATGATAAGTATTCGAGGAGAAAATATGCTTACCCTGATTTGAAAATTACATAATGTAAGCATGTACTCAATTATCAGATCATACCTCATACATACAATTTTTATGTACCAGAGAAACATTTTAAAGAATTATTTAAATATTAAAGGGAGTGCCTCCTGACTGTTCCATTACCAGCATGAATCAAAAACATGTAAATACTCCAGGCTGATGCTGTGTTGCCATGGGTTAAAGCCCTGTTCTGCAGCACTGGCATCCTATATGGCAGGCGGTTCCAGTTCCAGCTGCTCCACTTCTTCTTCTTCTTTTTTGACATGCAGAGTTAGTGAGAGAGAGAGATAGAGACAGAGAGAAAGGTCTTCCTTCCATTGTTCACCCTCCAAATGTCCACTACAGCCGCGTGCTAACCCGACCCGAAGCCAGGAGCTAGGTGCTTCTCCTGGTCTCCCATGCGGGTGCAGGGCCCAAGCATCTGGGCCACAGCAGAGAGCTGGACTGGAAGAGGAGCAACTGAGACAGAATCTGGTGCCCCAACCGGGACTAGAACCTGGGGTGCCAGCACTGCAGGAGGAGGATTAGCCTAGTGAGCCGTGGTGCTGGCCCAGCTGCTCCACTTCTGATCCAGCTCCCTGCTAATGCCTGGGAAAGCAGTGGAAGATGGCCCAAGTCCTTGGGGGCCCTGCACCCACGCGGGAGATCTGGAAGAAGCTCCTGGCTTCAGATCAGCACAGCTCTGGCCATTGTGGCCAATTGGGGAGTGAACCAGTGGATGGAAGATCTCTCTCTCTCTCTCTCTCTCTGTCTCTCTGTCTCTGCCTCTCTGTAACTCCTTCAAATAAATAAATAAATCTTTTTTAAAAATAGAAATACTAAAAATGAGTTCTTTATCTCAAAACTAGAGTCAAGATAGCAACAATGAAAACTACATAGGTAAGTGGTATTGGCAATAATTTCATCATTGCTAGCAAGCGCATTAATCATGAATAAATCCAAAATAATTTTAGGAACATTTAGTATAATATAGAGGCTGGCATTGTGGTGTAGCAGGTTAAGCCACCACCTGTGATGCCTCCATCTCTTACTACAGGGCCGGATTGAGTCCTGGCTGCTCTATTTCTGATCCAATTTCCTGATAATTTGAACTGGTAGATGGAATCTCTCTCTCTCTCTCTCTTTCACTCTCTCTCACTCTTTCTCTCTTTCTGTCTCAGTAACACTTTACATTTCAATTAAATGAAAATTAAACCTTTAAAATGTATCATAGCAAAGTTACTTTGATATCTGGTAAACATATAAACAACACAACAAAATTGAAAGTAGAAATATTTTAGTGATTTTTACGTGCTATATATTTACCCCACATTAGATAATTTGATCTTGAAAATATACTTTATGACAGCAATCTGCATGTGTGAATTACCTTACAGGTTCACGTGTTTCCATTCTCAGTTGGGGAAGGAGTAGAGTTGGAATTTGAAATTAGTAGGACAAGTGACATATCACATCACAGATAATAATTGAAGGAAAGGGGTGAAGGCATTTGGCACTGGTATATATTGTTATTTCTTCCTTCAAATTTGCTTCCTTAAAGTTACTCAAGTGTCTGGTGGTTAAGTGTATTTGACATAAATTAAAAAGTATGGATTTGAATTTTAATAATTATTCCACAATTTAGATTCAATTTTTGTTCTGTTCTTACACTATGATTTTAAGTTTTGCTTTGCTCTTTGTTAAAATTTGTTTATTTATTTCAAAGTCAGAGTTACAGAGAGAGTGGGAGAGGCAGAGAGAGAGAGAGAGAGATCTTCCATCTGATTGTTCATTTCATTCTCCAGATGGCAGCAACTGCCAGGGCTGATGAATGCTGAAGCCTGGAGCCAGGAGCTTCTTCTGGGTCTGCCACATGGGAAGCAGGAGTTCAAGCACTTGGGCCATCTTCTACTGCTTTTCCTAGGCCATTTGCAGGGAGCTGGATAAGAAATGGGGCAGTTGGACATGAACCAACTTCACCTGCTACTCCACAACACCTGTGGTAGCTTTGGGAACCGCAAGGAGGGAAGGCCTATACTTCCAGGAATGGAGAGTCCCTACCTGTACTTCCGGGGAAGAAAAGTCCTTGTCAAGGCCCCTGCGGGTGCCTAAAGGTCAACCAATGAGGATCAGACCTGCCTCAACCTTTAACCCCCATGCCCTGAATCTATAAAAGGAGCCCTCCCACCCTCTGACGTGCAACCTCCCTGGCCCCACTCTGTTGGGACCAGGGAACCTTGCTCGGGAGTGGAATCCCAATAAAAGCCTGTGAATTAATTGATTCATCTGCCTGGGAAGATTTGTTACGCGCCAGACACCTTGCAACCAGGCCTTAAGTTTTGTTTTTCTGGGATTACATCAGTGGTGTCTACATTTTTCAAATATTGGCTTTATTTTGCTTATTATATCCTCTGTATTTTAACAGTTTATTTCAGTAGACTACATGGTTATGTTATTGGAGAGGCAAAGGGTCCTTGTCTTTGTGCAAGAATGAATTCAGGTGTGAGACAGAGAGTAGTAGAAAGCAAAGTAGCAAGTTTTACTATGGTATGGACATCTGTAAGAATGGATGGGCACCTCTCCAGATAGGACCTGAGAGAGAATGTGCAGTTTACATTTAGGCTGCAATTTTTAAGGGGATGGGTCTTGCCTTCTTGCCTCTTCTTCTTCTCCTCCTGGAACAAAGGACTTTTTGGATGTACATACAAAAAATTCCTTTCTGACTTTTCCCCCTGAAGTTATCAGACGGGGGAAGCCTGGCTGGTGTCGCTCTGCCTTAAAGGAGCCTTAGAGAAAGGATGGTTATTGAGTAGATGGGGCAGGACATTTGAAGTGCAGATACTGGGCTACACCTGGAAAGTTGCCGGGATGACTTTGCGATGCGGATGCTGGAGATGGATGTCAACTCCTTAGGCCTTTGTCACACACACATAAGTTCATTTATAACTTCCTACCTAACAGTTATATTCTCTTTGTCATTCCTGCTATTGCTTATTAATGCCTTCTCTTATTGTTGTTGGTCAGTGTTGTCTAGGCCTAATCAACTATGTTAGTCTACTCACTGCATAAATAGGTTTAAAGGGAATCAGCAGTATTTCTGCTGTTTATGTTCTTCTAATTTCCTTTGATTTATTTTATGGATGGTTTTTGTGATGATGAAATCGTGTGTTAGCTTAGCTAGGCTGTAATACCCAGATGTTTGATGAAACACTAATACTGACATTCTGAAAGTGCTCTTTAGAAGGGATAAACATGTAAATCCACAGACTTTGAGAGAAACTGCTTATCCTCCATAATATCCATTGGGTTTAACAGACCAGATGAAGCCTTTAAGAGAGAGGACTGAGGTCCCTCAGGGAGGAAGGGCTTCTGCCTCCAGTCAGTCTTTGGATTCAAAAGTACAACATGAACACTTCCCTGGGTCGTACTTGTCAGCCTTCAGGCTCTCAGATTACATATTTGCCAACCCCAGCACTGGATGAGCTACTTTGCTAAAATAAATTGACTTCTCTCTCTGTCTCATTCCATTTTTCTCTAATTACATTCATAATAGAAAGATCAACACATATATAACGTTAGGGTTTCAGAATCTATGAGAAATAGAAGTTCCCATATGCTATGGTGCATTGGTCCCACATTTAGGAAGCCATTCTGAAGAAATAGCACAGGAATCACAAAAACTACATGCATGTAGCAGAATTTGTTTTACAAGTTAAAACAATCTAAATATCCTTGGCAGTAATTTTGAAAAGTACATGATAACTGTGCAACAGAGCATTATGAGAAACACTCATTTTTTACTGTTTGTAAAAATATGCATGATATGTTAACCTCAAAATTGTAGCTATATTCTTATACAATTTTTGATGTATACATATAGATATTCCCCTCTTCTTTGCCTTAATATGCCTATATGTCTGTGTATGTCCATGTAGAGGTGTGTGTATGCCTATATGTCTGTGTATGTCCATGTAGAGGTGTGTGTGTGTGTGTATGTGTGTGTTTAACAACTGGGGGGGGGTGCTGAAAAAGGACATCCATGTTTAAGTTTATCTCCTGTTATTTTCTCTGTCTTCTCCCTCTATGTATGCATATATACACACATAAATATGCAAATAGACATATATACATACATAGACATATATATCACCTACATATATACACTTATTTACATTTTTACGTTTTATTTGAGAACCAGAGAGAGTGAGACAAGGATCGAAAGAGAAATCCCTTGTTCTGTTCTTCATATATCTGCAATGGCTCAGCCTGAGCTAGGACCAGTGCCAGGAGCTGGGAATGCAGACAGGTCAACTATGAGGGTAGCACAGGACTGAAACCACTGGGCTTTTACCTGCTCCCTCACAGGGCACAAATCACCCAGAACCTGGAATCTGGAACATAGCAAGGATCACACCCAGGTACACTGATATGGGATGTGGGTGAATAAGAGTCATCTTAACTGCTGTGTAAAAACTTCCTCATTCTTAATAAATAAAGTGTGACATTTATAATGTGTTTCCATTAGGTACATACCACCGATTAAATGCACTATGAATTTTGAGTTGTTTTACGGAAATAATTTTATTGGTGATGAAACAATGAGCTTTATTCCATTAGAGAAATTAAAATGTAGCTTGTAGGACAGAAAACTTGAGAAGACACAGAGCTCATAGATTGGATTCTCATTAGTAAGGACTGGGAAGGTAACAGGTGACACAGATGCCTGAAACCATCTGTGTTGCTCAGAGGGATTCCAGTGCTTTCTTCAGACTGGAACAAAACACAGCTCATAGGAGGGAGGGACAGAGAGAAACCCATTATCCACTGGGGTGGGATCAATATCCTTTGGGTCAACCAGAGGCTTCAGGGTAAAATGCTGCAAGATGGTGGTCAGGAGTAAGAACAGCTCCATGCGGGCCAGGCCCTCTCCAACACAAGCTCTTTTTCCTAAAAATGATACAAAAATTAATATTCACAGAGGAGGCATGAATAACTATGAAGTGAATAACAGTTTTAATTATTTCCTGTTTATCCTATGGCTCCAGCTCTTTACACCCGAACCTGGTTTTCTTCATTTCCTCAGCACACATAAATGTGTTTGTCCTTGGAAAATCTATTTATTTTCTGTGCATCCACAAAGGCACTGCTGTGCTGAAGGTTGCCAGTGACACCTTTCTAATCACTCACCACATACACAGTCACTCACTCACCTGTCCCAGCTGGCATGATAAACACACTGTGCTTTTCCATCTAACTCTGACCCAGTACTCAACAACAAATTTGTGTCTCCTCAGTTGAGTTCCAAAGAATAATCTTAATCTTGGCACTACCTGCTTAAAAATTTTCTAAGCGTTCACCATTGCCCAGTATTTAAAAATGTTGCAAATTGACCACAAACATTTTTCTTTTAATATTCTGTTTTGTTTTTATTTACACTAAGTTTTCTAATTTAGAATATATTGCTCAACTTTTATATATAATTTTGTCCTTCAAAAATATAAAGTCATTATGCTTACTTGATTATTTATTAATAGATAGTATAAGATGGCACAGAAAATCACCCACGAAGCAAAGGCAGCCTCATCTCCTTCCTCTTCTGCTCAGTTCCATAATCCAGCAGTTACTAACTTTACACCACTCCTGAAACAGACTGACAACTTCAGATTTATCTCACACAACAGTCTCTTGCCTGTTGGTAATCCTGAATACTTCTGGATTCAGATGGATCTCATTGATTCTATGCTGATCCCTTGAATGTGCTCAGTGTATACAATTCAATGCCTTGTTTTCCACAGCATTCATTAATGGTGCTAACACAGGGCAATGCATGTGGAATTTAGATTATTTATCTGATCCACAGACTGGAATATAAGATGTTAAGATAAAACTCTTCTAAGGATACCCTCAGTGTTAGGACAAAAGCAGGCCTGGCTCCAAAATATAAGAAGGAAGATAAGCAGTAGAGTGGCAGGGGCTTTGAGATCATCCTAGAGATTATACCTAATCTTGGAACCACAACACCAAGGATAGCTCAATGCCTACTTGTGCAGGTACTCAGATAGGAGCAAATCTCCTATTTCTGTGCCCATTTCAGTTATTTCAGTCAGAAGAGTCCTTCACTCTCTGTGCTGCCTCCTACTTCTCTTTTGGGGTGCACTGAAAATTCTTTTTCCCTCTATTCAGAGCCATCCTTGGTCTGTGTGCTGTTCTTTCCTGCCTGACCTGGAGGCTGCATTAGCCCAGAAGTTCCCTCCTTTTTTTTTTTTTTTTTTTACAGGCAGGGTGGACAGTGAGAGAGAGAGACAGAGAGAGAAAGGTCTTCCTTTTGCCGTTGGTTCACCCTCCAGTGGCTGCCGCGGCCGACCGGTGCACCGCGCTGATCCGATGGCAGGAGCCAGGTGCTTATCCTGGTCTCCCATGGGGTGCAGAGCCCAAGCACCTGGGCCATCCTCCACTGCACTCCTGGGCCACAGCAGAGAGCTGGCCTGGAAGAGGGGCAACCAGGACAGAATCCGGTGCCCCGACCGGGACTAGAACCCGGTGTGTCGGCGCCGCAAGGTGGAGGATTAGCCTAGTGAGCCGCGGCACCGGCAAGAAGTTCCCTCCTTATGTTTACCTCCTCAATCCTGGCCTACCACAGTTGTGGCAGTGGCTGTATGCTTCTAGCCACAGAAGCATCTCTTGGTAAGGCCTTCACTCTCTCCTGCCTGAACATCTGTTTAGGCTCCTATAGCACCCTCTTTCCCTTGTCCTTTCCTCCTTAGAATGGGGACATCTTCCTAATGGACCATATTCTGAATAACACCACATTTGGTCACTTCTCTTGTCCTGTCCTCACCTCTATAAACAGTATTAAAATTAAACCCTTAGGCCTGCGCCATGGCTCAATAGGATAATCCTCCGCCTTGCGGCGCCGGCACACCGGGTTCTAGTCCTGGTCGGGGCACCAGATTCTGTCCCGGTTGCCTCTCTTCCAGGCCAGCTCTCTGCCATGGCCCAGGAGTGCCGTGGAGGATGGCCCAAGTCCTTGGGCCCTGCACCCGCGTGGGAGAGCAGGAGAAGCACCTGGCTCCTGCCTTTGGATCAGCGTGGTGCGCCAGCCGTGGCGGCCATTGGAGGGTGAACCAACGGCACAAGGAAGACTTTTCTCTCTCTCTCTCTCTCTCTCTCTCTCTCTCTCACTGTCCACTCTGCCTGTCAAAAAAAAAAAAAATTAAACCTTTAAATGAAACTGTTAGTATGGCAGCTGCTTCTGCTAGAACCATTATTGAGGGAAGATACTCAAATGTTAACTTCCTGACAATTTCACTTGCTCTGCAACAACTCTGGTCCTGCCCTCAAAATGAGTAGAACTGATAACTCTTGGGCTTCCACAACAGACTCCAGCAAAGCATTTGTCACACTGGAGTCTCATTGACTGTTAATTTCTCTTCGTTTCTCCTACAAGAAATAGTGTTTCCCATTCACATTTGTGTTCTTGGGTCTGTGAATAGGGTTGTTACCTGTGAGGTTTTCAGTGTAGTTTATTAAGTGAACTGGAGTCTCAAGGCTGATGATAAGAGCTTTGTTGGAACTGAATTGTAAAAGGAGGTTTTGTGAACCCCAGTGGTGGGTCAGGAGGCATAAGCAGTTGATTTCAGCCTCCAGTGCAAGGCAAAACAGCCTGAACTATGGGAGCAATTCCTTTAAGTCCAGAGAAACTCCCTGTAAAGCCCATCTTCATCTCTCTTGACCCCTGATGTGCAGATAAAAGGAAGCTTGCTTGCCTGCTGAGAAAGGCATGAAGTAATCACTTTTCTTGAAGTTTCCACTTTCATCCAAGAAGTGTCCAGGGTCAAACTTCTCTGGGTTGGGAAACTCTTTGTCATCATACAGTACAGAAGTCAGAGATGGTATTATGTCTGTGCCCTGATAGAAAGAGAAACACATGTATAGGGTTATAAAGAAAGAACTTTGCATAAAATTGGAAATGTCTATCACCTAAACATTTTGTTTTAAAGATGATGATAATGAGCCACAAAATGAAGAATAAATCAATGAGGGGCTGGCAGGGTAAGCTGCTGCCTTCAACCCATATCAGGTACCTTGCTTCTAATCCAGCTTCCTGCTAATGTGCACCCTAGAAGGCAGTACATGCTGGCTCAAGTACTTGGCCCCTTGCCACTTGCGTGGGAGCTTGGATGGAGTTCCTGGCTCTTGGCTTCAACCTGGCACAGACCTGGCTGTTGGGCTGTTTGGGAAGTCAGCCAGCAGATCAAACATCTGTCTATCTTTCCATCTCTCTGTCTCTCCTTGTCACCCTGCCTTTCAAAAAAAAAAAACAAATTTGAAAAATAAGAAGAATTAAGAGGCCAGCTGATAGGTCTTAAATCCTTAAATGCTATAAAAGTGCAGAGAAAAAGTTTTCATCCATAGTTATCTGAATGCTTTCTGAAATACTGTATGGCCTCTCCAAATATATGATGTAGTTCTCATTGCAGAAAATTGGTCAAATGCATAAACTTCCATTGCTGTGTAGACAAGTAAAAGATAACATTTCCGTCCTTCCTGAACTTTAGCAGTTATTCCTATGAGTTGTTTCCTGGTGTGCACGAATTTAGAGCATTTCCTGAGCATAAGGTACAGCAAAATACTGTGGTCGACCCTAGTATAGACTTCCATATTAATTTGAGGTGAAACACCTCTCCTGTCTTATGGGACCTACTACTTCTAGATATGACAGTGTAACTTCTTTGGAGTTGCTCTCACAATTAAATAAATATAAATCTGGGAAAAATATATGAGGTAAACACAGGCAATCCAGGATTGTGATGTGTCTCTAAAGGGAAATTAAGCCCTACAACCAATCTCCGTTCTGCCTGAGAACACTTTGTTCCCAAGTATAAGGTAATGAAGGCCAAATCATATGGTGTTCTTTCCAAGGTAAGAAGATGTAGAGCAAGATTTATCAGCTATAACTTGTGAGGAAGCTTCCATGAGAAGTGAAATCTACCATCAGGGAAGATCTCAAAAGTGTACCAGACTTAAATCCATGCTGTGGGTTGGGTGTCACATTAAAGGAGGAAACTCCCAGAAGGCTTTTCAAGTCTGACTGCTGGAGGATTGAGAAATGCAGATGCGTACCAGAGAAGCAGAAGGAAAACTAATAGATTAACACGTCACTGTTGTGGGAAGTGAGTGTATACCAATGAAAGGTATCTCTGTGGGTACTAATCACTTCCATGAAGCCAAGTAAAACAAGGACTGGAAACATTCATTGATTTAATCATGGGTTTAGGGGCTAGCAGGGGGAGTCACCTAAGACTCTGATGAAAACGGTGTCACCATGTTGGAATATATTTCTCAATTTTTTGATGAATAAAAGACTGATTAGGAAATGTTATATATGTATAACTGTCTTATTCTGGGCATTACAGATCATTGGTTAGATAAGCTTGAGAAGGAGGGGTCCTAGTTTAAGGATAAGAGGTTTTTAAAGTATAAGAGAACTGAGTATGTTCAAATGCTGATAGAAAAGAGTCAGGAAGCACTAGGCTAATCCTCCGCCTAGCGGCGCCGGCACACCGGGTTCTAGTCCCGGTCGGGGCGCCGGATTCTGTCCCGGTTGCTCCTCTTCCAGGCCAGCTCTCTGCTGTGGCCCGGGAGTGCAGTGGAGGATGGCCCAGGTGCTTGGGCCCTGCACCCCATGGGAGACCAGGAAAAGCACCTGGCTCCTGGCTCCTGCCATCGGATCAGCGCGGTGTGCCGGCTGCAGCGCGCCGGCCGCGGCAGCCATTGGAGGGTGAACCAACGGCAAAGGAAGACCTTTCTCTCTGTCTCTCTCTCTCACTGTCCACTCTGCCTGTCAAAAAAAAAAAAAAAAAAAAAAGAAAAGAGTCAGGAAGGAGAGAGAGGATGAAGATTAAAAGAAAGAAAATTTTTTTTGAGTAGGATCCTTGAAAAAATGAGAGGTGAGAGAGCCATGCTAAAAGGAAAAAGTTCACTTTAGTTCAGAGTAAAGTACATCACTCACAAGACACATGAAAGAAAATTTAAAGGTATGGATGAATCTACGTATGCAAATCTAGTGGACAGGTGTTCAGGGAGTTCCCTTCCATAGGCTCTGATTTTCCCTATGCAGTGGAAATCCAGATTTACTGAAAAAGCATATTAGAAAGTTAGGAGTTTGATGAGAGTTCAGGATTGAATGGATCATCATGGAGCTTGGTGATGCAAGTTGTATTAGTTTGTACAACAGGACTGTTGGATAAAACAGAATATATTTGAGGTTGGTAATAATAATGCCAATCTGTTGGGCTGCATGGCCTTTATCTACAGTGATGAGTAGCACAAATACAGGTAGGTAGGGGGTCAGGAGACTACTGAATTGGACGTTTTACAAACACATGAAACTAATAGTAGGGAAGGAGGTGGGACTGTAGAATACTGATTAATTGTTATGAGTTGTAAATCATACACTGGAAGACAGGGAAGTGGAAAATAGACAGACTAATGGACAAGCAATGTGGAGCTATTTATGTACTGAACATTCTGTGGGAGTCTAAGCACCACTGTATTTAGGTAATTGTATCAACTAACTAGAAGGCAAGGCGAATGTGGTCAGAAGGGGAAATATCTGAGTTATGGCAGAAGGTTCAGCAATCTATAATTCTACTACCATGATAACTGATGGCCTAAGATTCCTAGAGAGGCACACAGACAAAAGTTGTATCACCTTTGGAATAAGATACCCGTTGAACTCAATGTCCTGAGTCACCGCATGGGGCAAAGTAGTGGGGACCAGGTCAACATATCTCTGGATCTCATGCATCACAGCATCGGTGTAGGGCATGCGGGTCCTGTCCTGCATGCAGGGGCTCCGGTGTCTGCCAATCACATGCTCAATCTCTTCCTGGACTTTAGCTGTCAAGACAGGAATCAAATTTAAAGTTAGTTTTGCTTAATGCTTTAATTACTGTCACATTGTGGTATGAGATGTATAGAATGGAAAATTACATGTTTCTATTTTCATCAACAGAATAAGTTACTCAAAGTTTTAATTTCCTGGGCAGAGAGGAAGTTCATTAGATTTGAGTCTCATAAGAGTCTTAAAGTATGCACATATAAAATACAGTTGAGTCATGAAATTTGCTTCTCAACTCTAATTATCTTTTTTTCTGTGCTTTTGCTTTTTGGACTTAAAAATCTTAGCTCTTGAATCACTAAAGACCATGTACTATCATCACTTGTGTGTGTGTCAGTTTTTATTTCAAATATATTAATTCCAAGAGGGTAGTTACTACCCTCTATAACAAATGTTTTGTTAAAAAGAATAGAGTGAGATATTTAGCTGAGTCAGCACAGAGGAACAAGCAGTAAGTTAACATTTCTTTAGAATGTGATATATGATGCAAATGATGTTATTTAATAATTTCTCAACACAGTTCTATTGTGAATATTATTTTTTGTTTCCAATGACACTCAGGTGAAATGTGGTCTTTCTCATGCTCTTTCACTTACAGAAGGGGCCAGAGGGATGGAGAGACAATCATGAATCTAAGGCCACAAATCTACACCTTATCATCAGAATCTAAAGCCTCTGTTAGAGACTACAGCTCATGTTCCAAAGTAGCAATGCCATATTCAGTAGTTGAATGTGTTTTTAAAGGATTATGTGAAAATGTGATGATATTGTAGGTATTAAGATGAAAACATTTTCAGACAAGTTTATTTTTACCTTCTCAGAATGAGAAGCAAGAGAATGATCATCAAGTAGTAAGTAACCACTGATGAAATCAGAATGCTTGTAGACTGACTCAGTAAGGGATGAACGTGGGAAGCAAAACAAACAAACAAAAAAAGAAAATACATATGGGCATGGGCATGGTAAAGGAAACAATCTAAAAAGCTGGAAGCATTTCCACTAAGATCTGGAACCAGATAAGGATGTCCAGTCTCATCATTACAATTCAATAAAGTTCTGGCAGATTTAGCCAGAGTTATTAGACAAGAAAAAGAAATGGGAAAAGAGGAAGTCAAATGATCCCTGTTTGCAGATGAAATGATTCTATGCAGCAGGGAACCAAAAGACTCCACTAAAATATTAGAGAACTCATAAAACTGTTTGGTAAAGTTGAAGAATATAAAATCAACACACAAAAATCAATAGCCTTTGTATACACAAAAATCTCAATGGCTGAGAAAAAGTTTGTAAAATCAGCCCCATTCACAAATGTTACAAAAAATTTAAATGCCTTGGGATTTAACCAAGGACATCAAAGATATTTACAATGAAAATTACAAAGTGTGAAGGAAAGAAATAGAAGAAAAAACAGAAAATGGAAAAATCTCCCATGTTCATAGATTGGAAGAATTAATATCATCAGAACACGCATGTTATCCCATGCAATTTACAGATTCAGTGTAATCCCAATCAAAATACCAAAGACATTCTCCTCAGAATGACCCTAAAATTCATATGAAATCACAGGAGACCCTGAATAGCTAAGACAATAGTAAACAATAAAAATAAAGCTGGAGATATCACGATACTAGATTTCAAGAGATATTACTTTGCAATTATAATCAAAATAGTCTGGTAATGGCACAAGAATAAGTATATCAACCAATGGAACAGATTAGAAATTCCAGAAAAAAAATCCATGCATTTGCAACCAACTAATCTTTGACAAACAAGCTAAGATCACTTCCTGGAGGAAGGACAGTTTTGATTTTTTTTTTTTTTGACAGGCAGAGTTCAACAGTGAGACAGAGAGAAAGGTCTTCCATCCATTGGTTCACCCCCAAAATGGGGCCACTACGGCCAGCGCTGCACCGATCCGAAGCCAGGAGCCAGGTGCTTCCTCCTGGTCTCCCATGCGGGTGCAGGGCCCAAGCACTTGGGCCATCCTCCACTGCCTTCCCGGGCCACAGCAGAGAGCTGGACTGAAAGAGGAGCAACCAGGACAGAACCCGCGCCCCAACCTGAACTAGAACCTGGGTGCCAGCTCTGCAGGTGGAGGATTAGCCTAGTGAGCCGTGGCGCTGGCCAAGATCATTTCCTGGAGGAAGGACAGTCTTTACAACAAATAATGTTGGGAAAATTGGATCTCTGCATACAGAAGTGTGAAACAAGACTCCTATCTTATACTCTGTGAAAAATAAGCTCACAATACAAATCTAAGACCTGCAACCAACAAATTACTAGAGGAGAACATAGGGGAAACAATGCAGAGCATAAGCATAGGCAAAGACTCCTTGGAAAAGACCCCAAAGCACAGGCAATGAAAGTAAACATAGATAAACAAGATTATATCAAGCTGAGGGGCTTCTGCACCACAAAGGAAGCTCAAATAAAGTAAGGAGGTAACCAACAGACTGTGAGAAAATATGTGCAAATGCTACATCTGTTAAAGGATTAATATCTTGGATATAAAAAGAACTCGAGAAATCAGCAGCAAATAAGCAATTCAGTTAAGAAATGAGCTAAGGATATGAACAGGCATTTTTCAAAGGATAAAATACAACGGCCAACAAACATGAAAAGATACTCAGGATTACTAGCCATTTGGGTTATGCAACTAAAAACCACAATGAGGGGGCCAGCACTGTGGCTCAGTGGGTTAAGTAACCACCTGATACACCAGCATTCTTTATGGGTGCCAGTTCAAGTCCCAGTTGCTCCACTTCCAATCCAGTTCTCTGCTAGTGCACCTGTGAAAGCAGCAGAAGGTAGCCCAAGCATTTGGGCCCTTGCACCTATGTGGGAGACCTGGAGGAAGTTCTGGGCTCCTAGCTTCTGCCTGGCCCAACCCCAGGCCCAGCCCCAGCCCCAGTAGTTTCTGTCACTTAGGGAGTGAACCAGAGGTTGGAAATTTTTCTTTCTTTCTTTCTTTCTTTCTTTCTTTCTTTCTTTCTTTCTTTCTTTCTTTCTTTCTTTCTTTCTTTCTTTCTTTCTTTCTTTCTTTCTTTCTCTTTCTTTCTTTCTTTCTTTCTTTCTTTCTTTCTTTCTTTCTTTCTTTCTTTCTTTCTTTCTTTCTTTCTTTCTCTCTCTCTCTCTCTCTCTCTCCCTCCCTCCCTCCCTCCCTCCCTCCCTTCCTTCCTTCCTTCCTTCCTTCCTTCCTTCCTTCCTTCCTTCCTTCCTCTCTCTCTATCTCTCTCTCTCTTTCTTTATTTCTCTCTTTCCTTCTCTCTTTCTTTCTCTCTTTCTCTCTCTCGTTTCACTCTTGCCATTCAAATAAATAAATAAATTTTTAAAACAACAAAACCACAATGCGGTTTCAAGTCACCCCAATCAGAATGGCTAACATTCAAAAGTGAAAAAATAAATGCTGGTGAGGATGGGGTTGGGGGAGACATACACTAATACACTGTTGGTGGTAATGTAAAGTACTACAATCACTATGGGACACAGTATAGAGATTCCTCAGAAATCTGAAAATAGATCTACAATGTGACCCAGCCATTCCACTCCTGGGAATAAACCCAAAGGAAATGAAATCAACATAATAAAGAATTATCTGTACCACTATATTTATATCAGCTCAATTCACAATAATTAAGATATGGAAAAAATCCAGATGTTCATCAACTGATGATTGGATAACAACATTGTGGTATATATACACAATGAAATACTACTCAGCCATAAAATATAATGAAATCCTGTCTCTTGCAACAAAATGAATGCAGCTGGAGAATATTTTGCTTGATGAAATAAGCCAGTCCTAAAAAGATAAATATCATGTATTCTCTGATTTGTGGTAACAAATATATAGAGTACATAAAATGTAATGTATATGAGTGAAACTGATATTTTGAGCTTCGATTATTGTTTACAGCCCTTGTCTACACTCTTGAGCAACAGTAGGTTTTCTACTTTCTACTTGTTGAATTATTGATTTAGTGGAAGGTTAAGCTTGAGATTATAAAGAAAATTCGAAGTATGCCATTGTAAAAATTAAAAGAAAAATAAGAAAAGAAACAGAAAGGAGGGAGGTATAGTGGTAGGGTGGGAAGTATAATTATGCTCTTAAAACTGTGTATATAAAATACATGAAATTGTCTCATCTGTATAAATTAACAACAAAAAAAAGAAAATGGTACTCTAATGCACTGTTGATGGGAATGCAAACTGGTGCAACCATTATGGAAAACATTATGGTGACTCTTCAGAAAACTAAAAATAGGTCTACCATATGACCTAGTTATCCTACTCCTGGGAATGTATCAAAAAGGAAATGAAATCAACATATGAAAGAGTTACTGTACTCCCATGTTTATAGCAGTTTAATTCACCATAGCAAAGATATGAAATCAACCTAGATGTCCATCAACTAATGATTAGCTATAGGAAATGTGGCATATATACAGGATGAAATATTACTTAGCTATAAAAAAGAATGAAATCCTGATATTTGCAACAAAATGAATGCAACTGGATATCATTATGTTAAGTGAAATAAACCAGACCCAGAAACACAACTATCACATATTTTCTCTTATTTGTGGAAGTTAATAGATCTAGAGAATACGAAAATTGATGGATGTCATATCATTAGATATTTAGTTATAAATATTGTTTCACTGAATCATAACATGTTAATGACATAAATAACAATATATTCTTTTACCAAATCATGATCATTGTCACGAATTCTTAATTTTGTGATATGAATAGCTTTGTCTTCAAGAAATAATAGTGCATATGTATATAATGTCTGCATTTGAGGTGAACTGATAAAATGTTAAAAAAATAAAGTAATAGGAGCTGGTTCTGTGGTGCAGTGGGTTACCGCCCTGGCCTGAAGTGCTGGCGTCCCATATGTGCGCCGGTTCGAGACGCAGCTATTCCACTTCCCATCCAGTTCTCTGCTATGGGTTGGGAAAGTAGTAGAAGATGGTGCAAGTCCTTGGGCCTCTGAACTCACGTGGGAGACCTGGAAGAAGCTCCTGGCTCCTGGCTTTGCATTGGCACAGCTCTGGCCATTGCGACAATTTGAGGAGTGAACCATCAGATGGTAGAGCTCTCTCTCTCTCTCCCTCTCTCCCTCTCTCCCTCTCCTTTCTCTGTGTAACTCTGACTTTCGAATAAATAAATAAATCTTAAAAGAGTAAAATAATAATTTCAAAAATATTTTAAAATTTAAAAATTCAAAAAATCTAAATGCAAAAGTGAAAACCAAAGTGTCTGAAAAACATGACACAAGAAATGTTTTTGCAACATGCACATGATTTTAAGTTTTTAGGGAAATGTATATTATTTTCAGTCATAATCAATATAGGCCTTTAAAGAGTTAGTGATGTGGCTCAGTGGGTTAAAGCCCTGGCCTAAAATGCCTACATCCCATGTGGGCACTGGTTCATGTCCTGGCTGCTCCACTTCTGATCCAGCTCTCTGCTATGGCCAGGGAAAACAGTGTAAAATGGCCCAAGTCCTTGGGCCCCTGCACCCACATGGGAGACCTGGAAGAAGCTCCTGGTTCCTGGCTTCGGATCAGCACAGCTCCAGCAATTGTGGCCATCTGGGGAGTGAACCAGTGCATGAAAGACCTCTCTCTCTCTCTGCCTCTCCTTCTCACTCGGTGTAACACTGACCATTCAAATTAAATACATAAAGTGATCAATTTCAGTTCACAATTGATCACACTGATAGGTGTAAGAGTCAAAGGGATCACACAAACAAGTCTAGTGTCTGCTAATACTAGCTGATAGAATCAAAAAGGGAGAGAACAATCCATCATGGGAAGCGGGATACACAGTAGACTCATAGAATGGCAGATGTCCTAAATAGCACTCTGGGCTCAGAATCAGCCCTTAAGGCATTCGGATATGGCTGAAGAGCCCATGAGAGTATTTTAGGCATGGAAAGCCAAGACACCCTGGGGGAGGGGAAGGAAGACCTAAATGGAAGATCTCTGTGAGTGAGATCCCAGTGGAAAGAACAGGGCCATCAAAGAAGGAGGTACCTTTCTCTGAAGGGAGGAGAGAACTTCCACTTTGACTATGACCCTGTTGGAATAAGATCGAAGTCGGCGAACTCAAAAGGCTTCCATAGCCTTGGCAACTCATGACTAGAGCCTAGGGAGATTACTGATGCCATAAACAAGAGTGTCAAATTGTTAAGTCAACAGCAGGAGTCACTGTGTACTTACTTCTCATGTGGGATCTGTCCTTAGTGTGTTGTCCAATGTGAAGTAATGCTATAACTAGTACTGAAACAGTATTTTACACTTTGTGTTTCTGTGTGGGTGCAAACTGATGAAATCTTTACTTAATATATACTGAATTGATCTTCTGTATATAAAGATCATTGAAAATGAATCTTGATGTGAATGGAATGGGAGAGGGAGTGGGAGATGGGAGGGGTGTGAGTGGGAGGGAAATTATGGGGGGGGAAGCCATTGTAATCCATTAACTTTACTTTAAAAATTTATATTTACTAAATAAAAAATAATAAACAAAAAAAAGAAAAAAAAACTTTAAAAAAAGAGTTAATGATGTTATTTTGTTGGAGGCAGACTGTGTCTTGTGACAAAAACACTATCTCACAGGATCTTAACAAATAAATTTTGAGGCTGTGTTTCTAATTGCATTTAAAAGCATTTCCTTTTCATTATAGCAAGAAAGATGAACTTCAAAGTTGAAAAAGTGGGTGCTTACACATTGGAGATATGCTTCATGAAATCAATCACACCAAAATTGTCTTAATCCACCAAAATACAAAACACAATATTGTTGTTAAAGAAATGTTGGCTTACATGAAGACTCAATAAAAATAAAAAAGAGGGGATGGCACTGTGGCACAATGAGTTAGAACCCTGACCTGCAAGTGCCGGCATCCCATATGGGCACTGATTCGAGTCCTGGCTGCTCTACTTTCAATCCAGTTCCCTGCTAATGTGCCTGGAAAAGCAGCAGAGGATAGCCCAAGTCCTTGGGCTCTGAAGGAGAACTGGAAGAAGCTCCTGGCTCCTGGCTTCAGATAGGCTCAGCTCTGGCCATTGTACCCATTTGGGAAGTGAACCAGCAGGTGGAAGACCTGTCTCTCTCTGTATCTACTTCTCCCTGTAACTCTGTCTTTCAAACAAACAAACCAAAAAAGAGGTGGAAAAATATGGAAAGATTGCATCTGCAAAGAAAATTTTTTGAGGACAATTTTGTTTATGCAAAAAGATTCATGAAAATACATTTTTTTAATCTGAGTACAACTCAGTCTTTTATTGGAGATTAAATCTTTTAGATGGAGATCAGTGTTTCTGGTTTTCTGTTGAGTAATTACATGCATCTGACTAGAAATATCTTCTGCCAAAAATATACTGAGACTTAGAATGCTATCAACTTGTATCTTTTTAGGGAAAGAGGGATTGTTGTTCTCTCCAGATTCTAAGACAACATTGTTACTGCGTTTGTTCTAACCCAAATCAAGGATACAGCACCATATCAAGGAGAAAAATGGCTGCTGCTTTCTAGTCTCTGTTGTGGTTTAAGAATTTCACCCCATCATTAAGACACTCTAATTTTACTTTAATTAATCTAATCCTAGGAACCCTTTCTTGTACTTTGTCTAATGGTTGAAGGGTATTATGGTTATTGGTGCTGTCTTCCAATTGCTATCTAAAATTTCATCCTGCCCATCACCAATGATCATACCTGTAATCTCAGGATGCTTCAACAGGAGCAAGAGTGCAAATTTCAATGTGTTGCTTGTTGTATCTGTTCCCGCACTAAACACATCCCATATAGTAGTGATCAAGTTGTCCATGGTAAATTCAGACTGCTTCTTGTGTTTTTCCTAGCAAAGATGCATTAGCATTGCATGATAAATAAAAACCCTCAGTGGTGACATAAAATAATCTAGTATAACATACACAATTGGCAAATTAAGCCAGACACAGGACAGTGCTCTACTTGAATTGCTAGGATTCATTTGAACTGCTAAAATATAAGTAATATATAGAGTACTAAAAAGTAAGTATATGAGTGAAATGGACATATTGAGATTTGATTATTGTTTGTAGCCCTTGTCTATACTGCTGAGGAACTGTGGTTTTTATACTTATTATTTGGTGAATTCTTTACTTAGTGCAGGATTCAGCTTAGCATATTGATTCAATATAGCAGGATTCAATATAGCATTCAATATAGCAGGATTCAATATAGCATATTGAAATATGTCATCACAAAAATTAAAAAAAAGGAAAGAAGGAGGAGGGTGGTTGAGTGAGGGATGGAGGGTGAAGGGTGGAAGAATCATTATGTTCTTAAACTGTATAGATGAAATATATGAAGTCTGTTCCTTTTATATAAACAAATAAATGAAATTTAAAAACATATATTCAAAATTACCAAATTCCAAGTCTTTCTGTCTACTCAGTGAGGAAATTAATTTATCCATTTCTTTCTAAAATATTTTTATTAAGTTTTTCATTACTACTGTCAATCCTACCTGTTATTGTCGCTTTTATCATGAATATCTAAATCTCTTTCAAGCCTCCAGACCCACTCACCTCCAAATTACATCACTATCCCCAACTTCGACCTTCCTTACACCTATCAGGGTTCTTACATTAGAACCAGACAATCTATGAAAACTCCACATACTTGGTCACTGTACTTTTCATTTCCTAGGTACATTTTATCCTCCAATGGTCCTAAATACTTACTGTAAGCTCCATTTTTTAGGTAACTACATTTTATTCCTGAGTGGGAAACCCCTCTCCTTGCTGTGCTTTCTCCTAGGTCAGCAAATTGACAACCTACAGCCCCACATTCATTTACTAAAAAAGCCACATAGCACCTGGCTAACCCACCTGCATCTGGCTGTGTCCGTAACATGTGTGCTGGCTTGGAAAGCATCAAAAATAGTAACATTCTGCTTTAGTCTGAGCACAAAAACAAACAATAACCCCCCCAAAAAAAATCTTGCTCATTCCTACCCCCTTTTCAGTGCTCCTAAGCCCTGCCACACTCTCATGTAGGGCTTATGGTGTCTAAGGTGTCTGATTCCTTTCCTCCCTTCAACTGTAAATAAAATATCTCTGCTAATTTCTCAGATCTATCAAGCCTTTCTCAACCTGAGCCCTAGTCATACAAAGTAGCCTTTACTCACCCCATCTGTGAAAATTTCCTATAGTGTTTCCAAGGGCAAATCTTTCTCCTTTGTTAAATATTCTATCCATGAAACTTATTTTATGTACAATGACACATTATCGTCATTCTGCAAGGTGTATATATGTCTCTCTATGTGTATGTGTCTGTTTCAATTTCTCATGCAAATAAAGAACTAAATTTAACAAGGCCAGTATAATGTCTTCTAATTTTTTTTTTCATTCAGGATTTTACAATATCTCAAAACTCACACAAGCAATGGACACAACCTCAGGAAGAAGCATTTGTTTCATCTATGAGTCATATCACCCACATAAATGAGGTAGCAAATCAGAGTCCCTTTCTACCTTTTCCATTTTAATCAGGAAATGGTCAACAAAGTCCCGAGGATTATTCGAATCCAGAGATTCTTGATGTTCTTGTACCTTCTCCAAAATAAACTTGATCTGGCCATCAATATTTTTAAACAACTGGCGATGACTTCCTGGTAGATAATGTAAAATGGGAAAAATATTGTAGAGCTGAAAGAGGAAAGAATTCTTTGTTAGCTCATTTTTCTTGTTATGTATCCCACATTCTCCTGTGCCCTGAGTCGATAAAGAGTAATAAGACTTGTTCCTGTACTAGAACATGGTAATTTAAAGGAAAGAGTAAAGAAAAAAATGACCAGTCTTACATTAATTTCCCAGCTGTTTTTGAAGGGATTCAGGAATTGCCCCTGTTGTCATCTATCTCTGATTCACAAAAGTCAGTCAACAATTCAAAGAGGGCTGGTGCTGTGGCATAGTGGGTAAAGCCGCCACCTGCACTGCCGGCATCCCAAAGGAGTGCCGGTTCAAATCCCAGCTGCTCCTCTTCTGATCCAGCTCTCTGCTATGGCCCTGGAAATCAGTAGCAGATGGCCCAAGTCTTTGGGCCCCTGCACCCATGTGGGAGACCCAGAAGAAACTCCTGGCCCCTGGCTTCAGATAGGTGCAGCTCAGGCTATTACTGCCATCTGGGGAGTGAATCAGCATATGGAAGACCTCTCTCTTTCTCTCTCTCTCTCATTCTCTGTTTCTCTCTCTTACTCTTTTTGCTTCTGCCTCTCTGTAACTCTGCCTTTCAAGAAGATAAATAAATCTTAAAAAAAAAATTCAAAGACAACAACCTAGTGAGATCAATGCTAGAAGCCAATGTTAATCCCAACACTCCTATGCATATTTCTCCAAGAAGACATCTAAAATGCTAGTACTCATACTCTTGTTGTAATGAAGAATACAACAGAAAGGTTAAGGGAGTGACCAGATCACTTATCTTGCTCTGTGTAGGTATTTTCCCTCTTCAGGAATGTGTACATTTACCCGACTCATCTGGTCTTTCCTGGTCCTGAAGTTCCCTGACACTGCTTCAGACACTACCTTAATGACTTAAGATAGGCATCTAAACAATTTATTTAGTATAGTAACATGAATCAAAGAATAGTTATAAAGATAAGAACTGTAGATTTCAGATATGGATTACTTATTGTGTAGCCTAAGCTACTTTAAAGAATATTCTGGTTAGTTCTGAATCCTAATTTCCTATTCCAGACAACTCATGTGTAGACCGTTTGTCCTCTGGAATCCTTCCCAGGTAAAACACATCCTGACCTTATGAACTCCATGGGGTGTTAGGTGTTAGATCATACAACAAAGGCTTTTTACATTCTCTGAAAGTATACAATAGCAACAAATTTTACACTACCACCCTGTACATAAAAAATGAGAAATATTTCTCAAAAAAGCTTACTATAAATGAGGCATTTGCTATTTTATTTCACTTTTTATTCTACTTTATGTCTTAATTTATATTTTCACATATAAAATGGATTTGATAACTCAGTAATTGCTTGCAAGTTCTAATTTAAAAAAATTACTTTTGGCATTTTAAAAGGATCAGAGGAATGGGCAAATGATTTGGTAGAAAATAATTTCACATTTAGGGGCCAGTGCTATGATTTAGTAGGTTAAACATTCTCCTGTAGCTCCAGCATCCCATATGGATGTCAGTTCAAGTCCCAGGTGCTCCACTTCTGATCCAGTTCCCTGCTGATGGCCTAGGAAAGCAGTAAGTGCTTGGATCCCTGTTACTGCATGAGAGACCCAGAAGAAGCTCCTGGCTTCTGGCTTTAGATGGTCCAGCTCTGGCCATTGCAGCCATTTGGGGAGTGAACCAGTGAATGGAAGACCTCTCTTTCTCTCTCTGTCTCTCTCTCTCTGTGACTGTCTTTCTCTCCATCTCTCTCTAACTCTACATCTCAAGTAAATATTTATTTTAACTTTTATTTAATAAATATAAATTTCCAAAGTACAACTTTTGGATTATAGTGGCTTTTTTCCCCCCATAACCTCCATCCCACCTGCAACCATCCCATCCCCACTCCCTCTCCCATCCCATTCTTCATCAAGATTCATTTAAAATTATCTTCATATACAGAAGATCAACTTGGTATACACTAAGTAAATATTTCAACAATTTGAACGCATACAGAAGCACAACGTATAAAGTACTGTTTGTGTACTAGTTATACAGTTAATTCACATAGGACAACACATTAAGGACAGAGATCCTACACGGGGAGTAAGCGCACAGTGACTCCTGCTGTTGATTTAACAATTGACACTCTAAATAAATTTTAAAAAAATAATTTCACATTTAGAGGGATCTTGATTTTACCTGTATCCAGGGAGTGCCTAAAAGTTCAAAGTTTTCATGAAAATACTTGATCAAGGTTTTAAATTTTTCATCATCATAGTCAAAACGATTCTGGAAAATGACGGAGCACATCACGTTGCAGGGAACACAGAACAGAAGAAAAGTAGGATCACAAGGAGATGCTGAGGAAAATGGAGTAGAAATGAGTGCACAGTTTTCATGCATATCTTAAATTGATTATCTTCGATAACTGAGAAAGTTGACTACCTAGACACATTATCATCATTATAAACTCCACATGCCTGCAATAAAATTACATTACTCAACAAACTGTCTTTTCTACTCCAGTTTATTTGTTAATTTTCTCCAAAGTATTCTCTTCTTCACATCATTTTTCAAAATTTCAAATATGCAAGAAGGAAAATATATGAGAAAGAGTCATAAAGATATCTTTAAATGGGTGGAAGGTAGGTCTCAGTGTGAATACTCTCATTATGTACACAGAAAACAATTACCTAACACAAGCCAATAGGAAACTTGAAATTGTATTTTCGAACAGTTGAAAAATAGGTGTACTTTCCTTGAAGAAGAAAAGAATGAAAAATATTGAAATTGTATTTGAATATTTTAAAAAATATGCCATAGTTTTGGAAACAGACTTCTGTATGCAATTAAGAGTATGACTCAATTTTCTAATTTTTGACAAATGGTAGCTCTTAAACCTTACCACATATCTCTTCTCCTTCAGTTAACATCTGAATGGCCTGACTTTAAAAAAGAAAAAATAAAATCTCAAGGGCTCTCTTTAACAAAACAAGGAATTTTAAGTGACAGGGAAAAGCAGGGATACATGACAATATCAAATGAGTGCAACAATTATCCATTAGCTGACATCAAAGAAAGAAAATTTTTGAATTGCTTGAAATGGAATTCAAAAAAATTATTTTAAAAAACTCAGTGACATACAAGGTAATATCAATGTAAAATTCAAAGAAATCCAGAAACACAATTCATAACCTGAATGAGAAGTTCAACAAAGACAGAAATAATCATAGAAAATAAACAGAAATATGACAGCATAATGTAGTGACTGAAAAAATTGCAGGTGAGACTTTAAACATTTGAATAAAATTTTTAAACTGAATGACAAATAATTTGAAATAGCCCAGTCAGAGTGAAAAAAGAATAAAGCTTGAAAAACTGTGAAATTGCCTACAAGAGTTGTGGGATACCATTAAACCAACCTATGTTCACAATATGGAAATTCAACTGAGAAATGAGATGGAGAAAGACAGAGAAAGCTTCATTAATGAAATCCTCAAGGAAGTTGAAAACTTCACAAGTTTTGGAAGAGATATGAACAACCAGATACAAGAAGCTCACAAATTGTCAAATAAATTGAACTCAAAGAGCCTCTTGTAAGTACATTATAATCAAATTTTTAAAAAGTCTAAGACAAAGACCGGCGCCGCGGCTCACTAGGCTAATCCTCCGCCTAGCGGCGCCGGCACACCAGGTTCTAGTCCCGGTCGGGGCGCCGGATTCTGTCCTGGTTGCCCCTCTTCCAGGCCAGCCCTCTGCTGTGGCCAGGGAGTGCAGTGGAGGATGGCCCAGGTGCTTGGGCCCTGCACCCCATGGGAGACCAGGAAAAGCACCTGGCTCCTGGCTCCTGCCATCGGATCAGCGCGGTGCGCCGGCTGCAGTGCGCCGGCCGCGGCGGCCATTGGAGGGTGAACCAACGGCAAAAGGAAGACCTTTCTCTCTGTCTCTCTCTCTCACTGTCCACTCTGCCTGTCAAAAAAAAAAAAAAAAGTCTAAGACAAAGAGAATTCTAAAATCAGCAAGAAAAATCTATCAAGTCACATGTCAGGGAATTTCCATCAGATTATCAACATATTTCTCAGCAAACATTATGCAGGCCAACTGAGAATGAGATGATACATTCAAAGTGCTGAAAAGAAAAAAAAAATATCAGTCAAAAACACCATAGCCAGCAAAACTGTCCATCAAAATGAAAGAGAAATAGTATCTTTTTTTAAAAAAAGATTTATTAATTTATTTATTTGAAAGGTAGAGTTACAGAGAAGCGAGGCAGAGAGAGAGAAGTCTTCCATCTGCTGGTTCACTCCCAAGATGGCTGCAATGGCTGGAGCTGCGCCTATCCAAAGCCAGGAGCAGGAGCTTCCTCTGGGTCTCCCACATGGGTGCAGGGGCCCAAGGACTTGGGCCATCTTCTATTGCCTTCCTTCCTTCCCTCCCTCCCTTGCAGCCAATTGGGGAGTGAACCATCAGATTGAAGACCTCTCTCTCTCTCTCTCTCTCTCTGCCTCTCCTCTCTTTGTATAACTCTGATTTTCAAATAAATAAATGATTAAATCTTTTGCATAAAGGAATTCATAGAATTAATAAAAATTAAAATGTATATATTAACTAAAAAAACTTCAGATTCAATGCAATCCCATCTTTAGAGAATTAGGAAAAAACCTAAAATTAATATGAAATCATACAAGACACGGATTAGTCAAAGAAATCTTAAGATAAAAAGAGACAAGCTGGAGTCATCAGAATACCTGACTTTAAAGTGTACTATAAATGATCATAACTGAAACACCTTGTACTAGCATAAAAACTGGCACATAGACCAATGGAAAAATTAGAAAGCTTAGAATTAAACCATGTACATACAGCTATCTGATCTTTGAGAAAGGTACCCAGAACATACATTAAAGAATGGATAGTAATTTACATGGTGCTGGCAAAAATGGGTGTATTTATGTAGAAGAATGAAATTAGATTCCTACCTCTCACCACATACAAAAATCAACTAAGATGGTTGGAAGGTCTAAATATAATAGCAGAAAATATAAAATTGGTCATTAATAAAATCCATGTTCTCTTTTTCCTGTGTACTTAATTCATCATATTTTCCAACCCCTCTTACAAATATGTGGGGCACTGTTAAAAAACTATGGCTTATGGATATGATAAAAATTTTGTATGCCATTTGCATGCCTGGTCCAAACACTATTTGCTCTTTTCTGCTTTTATGACCAGACAAAGAAGTTACATAAACAATGCATGACATTAGGAGCCAAATATGGAAGATATCAGAGACTTTCTCCTTATGGTGTCTGAAAAGGCTAGTATGCCAATTGCTTTACCTCTTTTAACACTTATGTGAGCGGACATTGAGCTTCTGTTATATATGCACCACCATATCATTCTTAGCTACTTGTAATACCCAGAAATCAATCCAAACATCTACAGCCAACTCGTATTTGATCAAGGATCCAAAACCAATCCCTGGAGCAAGGAGAGTCTATTCAATAAATGGTGCTGGGAAACTTGGATTTCCACATGCAGAAGCATAAAGCAAGACCCCTACCTTTCACCTTACACAAAAATTCACTCAACATGGATTAAAGACTTAAATGTACGACCCAACACCATCAAATTATTGGAGAAATTCTGCAAGATATAGGTACAGGCAAAGACTTCTTGGTAAAGACACCAGAAGCACAGGCAGTCAAAGCCAAAATTAACATTTGGGATTTCATCAAATTGAGACGTTTCTGTACTGCAAAAGAAACAGTCAGGAAAGTGAAGAGGCTACCGACAGAATGGGAAAAAATATTTGCAAACTATGCAACAGATAAAGGGTTGATAACCAGAATCTACAAAGAAATCAAGAAACTCCACAACATCAAAACAAACAACCCACTTAAGAGATGGGCCAAGGACCTCAACAGACATTTTTCAAAAGAGGGAATCCAAATGGCCAACAGACACATGAAAAAATGTTCAAGATCACTAGCCATCAGGGAAATGCAAATCAAAACCATAATGAGGTTTCACCTCACCCCAGTTAGAATGGCTCACATTCAGAAATCTACCAACAACAGATGCTGGAGAGAATGTGGGCAAAAGTGGACACTAACCCACTGTTGGTGGGAATGCAAACTGGTTAAGCCACTATGGAAGTCAGTTTGGAGATTCCTCAGAAAACCTGAATATAACCCTACCATTCAACCCAGCCATCCCACTCCTTGGAATTTACCCAAAAGAAATTAAATTGCAAACAAAAATGCTGTCTGCACCCTAATGTTTATTGCAGCTCAATTTTACAATAGCTAAGACCTGGAACCAACCCAGATGCCCATCAACAGTAGACTGGATAAAGAAATTATGGGATATGTACTCTATAGAATACTATACAAAAGTCAAAAACAATGAAACCTGGTCATTTGCAACAAGATGGAGGAATCTGGAAAACATTATGCTGAGTAAATTAAGCCAGTCCCAAAGGGACAAATATCATATGTTCTCCCGATCGGTGACAACTAACTGAGCACCAAAGGGGAAACCTGTTGAAGTGAAATGGACACTATGAGAAACAGTGACTTGATCAGCTCTTGTCCTGACTGTTGATGTACAATGTAATACTTTAACCCTTTTAGTATTTTCTCTTTGTTTTTGTTCTAGTAATATTGGTTGAACTCTGATTTTTTTTGGACAGGCAGAGTGGACACTGAGAGAGAGACAGAGAGAAAGGTCTTCCTTTGCCATTGGTTCACCCTCCAATGGCTGCCGCGGCGCGCCCCGCACTGATCCAATGGCAGGAGCCAGGTACTTATCCTGGTCTCCCATGGGGTGCAGGGCCCAAGCACCTGGGCCATCCTCCACTGCACTCCCTGGCCACAGCAGAGAGCTGGCCTGGAAGAGGGGCAACCGGAACAGAATCCGGTGCCCTGACCGGGACTAGAACCCGGTGTGCCAGCGCCGCAAGGCGGAGGATTATCCTAGTGAGCCGCAGCGCCGGCCTGAACTCTGTGATTACCACACAATTATTCTTAGGTGTTTAAATTTTAACTGAAAAGTTATCCCTGTTAAATATAAGAGTGGGAATAAGAGAGGGAGGAGATATACAATTTGGGACATGCTCAATAGCACTTGCCCCAAATGGTGGAGTTAGAATCATGCCAGGGGATTCCCTTACAACCCCATCAAGGTGGCATGTACCAATGCCATCTCACATTTCCAGGTGATCAATTTCAGTTCACAGTTGATCACACTGATAGGTCTAAGAGTCAAAGGGATCACACAAACAAGTCTAGTGTCTGCTAATACTAGCTGATAGAATCAAAAAGGGAGAGAACAATCCATCATGGGAAGCGGGATACACAGTAGACTCATAGAATGGCAGATGTCCTAAATAGCACTCTGGGCTCAGAATCAGCCCTTAAGGCATTCGGATATGGCTGAAGAGCCCATGAGAGTATTTTAGGCATGGAAAGCCAAGACACCCTGGGGGAGGGGAAGGAAGACCTAAATGGAAGATCTCTGTGAGTGAGATCCCAGTGGAAAGAACAGGGCCATCAAAGAAGGAGGTACCTTTCTCTGAAGGGAGGAGAGAACTTCCACTTTGACTATGACCCTGTTGGAATAAGATCGAAGTCGGCGAACTCAAAAGGCTTCCATAGCCTTGGCAACTCATGACTAGAGCCTAGGGAGATTACTGATGCCATAAACAAGAGTGTCAAATTGTTAAGTCAACAGCAGGAGTCACTGTGTACTTACTTCTCATGTGGGATCTGTCCTTAGTGTGTTGTCCAATGTGAAGTAATGCTATAACTAGTACTGAAACAGTATTTTACACTTTGTGTTTCTGTGTGGGTGCAAACTGATGAAATCTTTACTTAATATATACTGAATTGATCTTCTGTATATAAAGATCATTGAAAATGAATCTTGATGTGAATGGAATGGGAGAGGGAGTGGGAGATGGGAGGGGTGTGAGTGGGAGGGAAATTATGGGGGGGGAAGCCATTGTAATCCATTAACTGTACTTTAAAAATTTATATTTACTAAATAAAAAATAAAAAATACCCAATCACTAGTCTTAATTATGTAAAGAAATAAAGAAATATATACCATTAGTTTTTCTTAATGCTTGTATCAGACATAAGGCTTCCTCTTGAATTCTTTCTTCAATAGTTTTCTTTCCCATCCCCAGATTCCGCAAAACTGTGAGGGAGAAACGTCGGGTTTCCTTCCATTTTTCTCCACTGCTGAAAACAATTCCTATCAGGATTTAAACACATACACATTTGAATATCATCCATGGTTATGAATTCCAGATGAGAGTACTCATTGTAAAAATTGATAGAGACATAGGCAGTAAAGTCAACTCAAGGAATTGCCATTGAGCCTTAACTCTCCTGCCCCTTCTTTCAACTCAACCTAATATTCTATTGTTGGGATTGTAGATTTTACATATTACTTAGCTCTTCATCATCCATCAGCCTTGAAACCTTGTAATAACTCTGCAAGCCAAGTATTTTCACTCAGTGACTGTTTAATGACAAGGATGATGAAAATGATGGAGGTAAAATGTTTTCTCAATGATCAGAAATGTAAAAAATCATGTTGAGTCCAAGTCAGAGATTTAATTTCTCAAAGATGACTTTTCTACTGTAAGTGAATTTTAGGAAAAACTACCAGGGGAAGAAATTTTCAAGAGTCAGATGACTTTTCTGCTTTAGAAGAACTCTCACAACTATTCCTAAGATAAAGGATACCATCCCAGGTAATTCTCATTTAAAAATTATTCAATTTTTCTTACTTAATCTCTTTTGGTGGTATTAGCACCAAGGAATTTCAGCATCAGATTTCCAGAGTCAAGATAAAATTGAGAGAATAGGACTGTATATCATTGTCCAAGAGTCTACCTGGAGAATATTCTGGAGAAGAGGACCCATTTGGACCTTTTCTTTTCTTTTCTTTTCTTTTCTTTTCTTTTCTTTTCTGACAGGCAGAGTGGACAGTGAGAGAGAGAGAGACAGAGAGAAAGGTCTTCCTTTTGCCGTTGGTTCACCCTCCAATGGCTGCCGCGCCCGGCGCACCATGCTGATCTGATGGCAGGAGCCAGGTACTTATCCTGGTCTCCCATGGGGTGCAGGGCCCAAGCACCTGGGCCATCCTCCACTGCACTCCCTGGCCACAGCAGAGAGCTGGCCTGGAAGAGGGGCAACCGGGACAGAATCTGGCGCCCTGACCAGGACTAGAACCCGGTGTGCCGGCGCCACAAGGCAGAGGATTAGCCTATTGAGCCATGGTGCCAGCCCCATTTGGACCTTTTCTATTTTGTCAGAACTTAGTGACCCATCAGGTGACCAAGAAGTTTAAGCACAACTCCAAGAAAAAATGGAAAATAATTCAAATACTTAATTACTCAAAAAATATTCTTCTAATATAAATTCCAAACCCTATTCACTATATGTCCTTTCACAATCCTCTTATCATAATATATCTTTGCTTTAGGCTTTGCATTCACTTGAAGTCAAACATTTCTTATGCATTTTGGGAAGAAAACATGATAGAAGGGAAGGCTGGAAATATACCAAACACATGTTGGTTCCTTGCATATAATATAAACTTCTTAAAATATTCTCTTGGCCCCTATGAATCAGACCAGGAAGCTACATGTTTGGTGAATGGGATAATTCCATCATTTATTTGCTCTCTCCTTTCAATCTCCTATATAATTAATTTAACTGGTGATCATTTAAATTAATGTATCTTAACCAAAATTCATATAACATTAATGGTTTGGTGGCTTGCATTCACTGAATTTTATGTTCCTGTGGTCTAATGTGTCACATTCATGGATTTCACAAATAAATTAAGGATCTCATGTGGACTAAATATTCACACACTTTCCATGAAATAATGAAAAATGTATGTCATAAGTTTCTCCAAATGTTTATAGCTTCTCAATTTGTTAGCCTATATGGAATCTTCAACTCACAAACCCATGCATATTCCCCAAACAGAAGCATACCTAATCCTTTGGTGACTCTGTCAAACACTGGGAAAATTCCCCTGCCAGAAAACTCCTCTCCCCTATCAATCAGGGCCTCTTTGACTGTTTCATATCCATACAACACCACAGCGGGCTTCATTCCAAAATACAAGGTGAATATAGAACCATACTCTTTTGCTAGCTGGAAGAGGAACAGGAGATGCAAAAGGAGGCAAGAATTTAAAAAGTTAAATGTAGATAAGTGATAGATACAACTTTAATGTTATTAAAAAGACATTTCATATGCATCCACTAAACACAATATTTTAACTTTTAAAACCATTAATTTAATAAAAAAATGTTTGAATATTAATTATTATCATTTTTCTAACATTTCTATTATTATTGTCACTATCAATATTTATCCTATACTAAGTTCCTGCTATGTGACATGGGCTATATAATGCATTTGATCATAATATTTTATTACCTTTTTTTCTACCATTCTGCTATTACAAGGAACTTCTTCCATTCTGCAAATACAACGAATTATATATTCCTAGACTAATAATTGTGTACATTTATCTATTTTCTGTATTTTCATTTTAGAACCAGAAACCCCTAAGTTTTACTAATAATGGGGAATATGAAATCCTGATCATAGACATTGCCCAGTTTCACTTGAAGCTAGAAATAGCCATTTAATTGTGTCTCCATAAGTGAAGTCAGCAGTAGTGATATGTGGAAAGTCAACCTTGTTGCATTAAAAATTATTTCTTGCTTTCCCCTTTCTTCATACTTATGGGTTAACCCTCACTATAACAATGCCAATGAAAACAACAGTCTAGGGGCATGAGACAGTAGAATTTTAAGACTAAAGAAAACTGGTTCTTATAAGAACATCATGGAGTTGAGGCACCATCAACACTCACTTCTAGATCATTAAGTGAGATGGAAATTAGCTTCTATCTTCATTTACTCATTGTACTTTGGGGGTCTTTCTGTCACATCATCTTATGTCATATACTAAAGGATATAGGACCACACTCTTTCCACTTCCTCATGATGAACTCCTTTTGCTACCTTACAAATGATTCACAATGAAGCAACCAGAATGATCTTTTCACAAGGCAAATATTGAAATAAAATCCTTTAAGTATATTATTGGAATCAATTTCTCTTTGATGAAAATCAATATTAAAATATTGATATTATTATTATATTAAAAATGAATATTAATATAGTAGCAAGAACTACACATTCTGGACTCTGCTACAAGTAAATGATCTCAGGGGTTGATACAATCTCTTCAAATCTAGACCCCAAAGCACAGGAAGAAGGAGCATCCCAGAGCAGAACTCTGAGCGCCTATTTCCTTAGGGAAACGATATTTCTTATACTTCCTTCAGGTTTTAGATAGCTGGTGCTATGGATCGACTTGGACAAGAGACATTATTGGCTAATTCATTAACAACAATCATAAGACTGAAAATTCTTGATCATTTATTTATTTCCTGGACTTCAAATCAATATATGCCTTATGAAAACTTACTGTTATGACTGCAAATCAGAAGAATGTTTAAACTTAAACCATGTTTACATAAATTAGACTTCACCAAAGAATAATTACTATAAAGAGGATCTAAATTGAACAAAGAATTCCTACTTTGGCAATTTCTTTTTTTATTCTTTTTTCAATTTTTAAAATTTATATTTTAAACAAATTTCATGTATTTAACATATACAGATTTAAGAGCATAGTGATAACTCCTACTCTACCCACTCTCTCACCCACGCTTCATGGATCTCTTTCCCTTTTGATGAGAATAGGCACATAGCTGCTGAATGAGGAGAACCTAAGGACTGCTAGCAGTATCTGTGTGCAGATACCACAAACCCCACCTCGACTGTCTGACTGGAAATATACAATATTATTGCAGGCTGGACGCACACATTCCCCATCATGCACCATACACCAACACACTGTATTAAAGATGACCACAGATGTGCTCCACCCCACAAGTAAGAGATGCCATGCCTCTTCTGAGATCCCCCAAATGGGACATGTTAGTGAATGGTACTCATGCCCTGCCAAAACTTTGCCCCCTTTGAATGTTTAGCTGGGCCTTGTCCCAGGCCCTGCTTCCTATAAATTTTTATAGAGGTAGCAGTCCTTCCTTCCTCATGAGGAGAGGTGGCTTACACTCACATATGATTGCATAACATTGCTTTCAATAAATCTGGCTGCCTGCTCCCTTTACATATATCTACTCCTTGATTTCTTTTCTTGTGTGAATCCAAGAGTTCAGAACAAATGCTGAAAGGGTCAAGGGCCCCATAATGCTCCTAGCTATATACATTCTAAAATTACATCTATGTATCCAATGGACAATTTCCTTTAAAGCCTTCTCTTCAATATTCCCTTGAAAATCTTTTCCTGTTATCAGACTGTCTTATTCACTCTTTGTAAACAACTGAGAGAAAATTGATCACACGTACCATGCTTAAGGATTTGTTGATATTCTTAGTTTCTAGCTGTAGCAGATTTCCAACAACTGGGAGAGGAGTGGGTCCAGGTGGGAGCTTCCCTTTGCCATGGGTTTTCTTCCACAAAGAAAGAAGAACCACACAAGAAAGACAAATCCCCAAGATAATGAGGAGATCCATGGCTGTGTCAAATGCAGTGTAAAGTTGAGCATTCAAAGACTTTATAAATGCACAACAATCTTATCACCAAATATGTACTAATCTTTGAACCTTCAATAAACATTGCACTTTGGTCTTACGGTAGGAAAAAAAAACAATCATTTTAAATGTTGAAATTCCCACTAAATACTACCTTTCACTTCTCCAAAAAAAGGGTTTTTTTTTTTTTTTTTTTCTAAAAGGTGTCATGGAAAAACCAGAGGCATTAGAGGAGAAAAGCCAGTCTTAGAAAATACCATAGATATCCCAACTCTCCAGAAAATAAACAAAAATGTTGAGACTGAACAATGCTAATGAATGAACAGTGCATCACAAAAGAAATCAAAATAGATTAAAAAATTATTGAATGAGTAAAAATAATAGCACAACACATCAAAACTTATGGGATATAGCAAAAGAAGTATTAAAAGAAAATTTTATGGTAATTAGTGCCTATATCAAGAAATTGGAAATGTATAAAATAAATGATTTAACAATGACCTGAAAAAATTACCTGTACCCTATGTTTATAGCAGTTCAATTCAGAATAGCTAAGATTTATGGAATCAACCTAGATGTTCATCAAATGATTACTGGATAAAAAAAATGTGGTATATGTGCACAATGGAATGCTACTCAGACATACAAGAATGAAATCCTCCCATCTTTTGTGACAAAATTGTTGCAACTGGAGACCATTATACTTAGTGAAATAAGCCAGAACCAAAAAGGCACATATCCCATGTTTTGCATAACTTGTGGTAGCTAATGCATAGAGCACAAATGAATTAATGTATATGAGTGATTCTGACATCTTGGGATTTGATTATTGTTTATAGCCTTTATCTATTCCTGATGAACAGTGATCTCTATGCTTTTTAGTTGTTGAAACCTTTAGGTAGTGGAACATTTAGCCTGTGACTATAAACTAAATTAAAAATATATTATCACAAAAATTTTTAAAAAATGAAGAATAAAGGGAGGGAAGTATAATTATATTCTTAGACTTATATGTATTAGTGACATGAAATCTGACCTCATATTAATAAAAATTATAAATATTAATATAAAAAAGTGCCTCTCTTATTTATTAAGTTTAATAAGCACTGTAGAGAAAGACAAGAGCCACATAGTTTTGCTCATATTTGTGGAATCTTACATGGACTTCATAGATATTGAGAGCAGAATAATGGTTACCAGAGGCTGAGGGGAGGAGGCTTAAGGCAGCACAGGAAAGGTTAATTAATGGTATTAATTAAAGTGAGATGGGTGAAATAACTTCTGGTGCTTTACAGCACAGTGTGGGCAAACATATTGTCCTGATAACATAATGACTACAAGCAAACATAATGTATTTTTAATTATTCAAAATATAAACACAAGGTACTTTTTGTTTATTTTAAAAAGGCAAAAGAAAGGATCTTGAGCATTTTTAACAAATGACCAGTATAAATTAAATAAATGTAAAGACTAAAAAGGAATCATTTGTATAAAAACTAGGTGCAAAATAGAAATGATGAAAATTAAAAAAGGGGTTAGTATTGCAGTTAAGCTGCAACTTGGGACCCCAGCATCCCATATAAGAGCATGGGTTCAATACCTGGCTGCTCCACTTGGGATTCAGCTTCCTGCTAATTACCTGGGAAAAGCAGTAGAAGAAGACCCAAGTTCTTGGGCCCCTGCACTCAGGTGGGAGACCTGGATCTAGAAGCTGGCTCCTGGCTTCAGTCTTGCCCAGCTCTGGCTGTTGTGGCCATTTCGGGGCCAAAACCAGCAGATAGAAGATCTCTTGCTCTCTCTGTAACTCTGCTTTTCAAATAAAAATAAATAAATATTTTTAAAAAGAAATAAAGAAAAGAGAGGAAAGCATTTGGTGCAGGAGTTAAGAGGTTGCTTGGGAAGCTTGCATCCCATATCAGAGTGTCTGCATTGGAGTTCTGCTTCTGAAACTGACTCCCTCTTCCTGCTAATGTGCATGTTAAGAGGCAACAGGTGATGACTCAAGTACATGGGTCCCTGCCACTCACTAAGAAAACCCAGATTGAATTTGGGCTCCTGGCTTTGGCCTGGCCCAGCACTGGCCATTTTAGGCATTTGGGAAGTGAAACAGCAGAGTTGTCAGTCTGTTTCCAGCTCTACCTCTTTCTCAGTCTCCCTGATTTTTAGTAATGAGGATTCCTCATACAATATCAGGCAGAGAGGAGGAAGTCCCACACGAACTGTGCACATCCAGAGCCCAACACAGGACTCCCAGCACTGTTCCGTCTTCTATACTGTGGATGCTGAGCTGTGGTCAGTCCTGCAGCAGGATCACTTTCAGGGAAGGCCACTAAAGATGGCCTAATTGTCAGGAGCTTCCCTCCACAGCTTCTGAAGCTTCAGAAAAACAAGGCCAGGAGACAGTCACCTGGTGTGTGAGCTGGAGAGTAGAGGGAACGGGGTCACACCACAAGGCCTCGGTCTATGAAGACCATGTCCAGATTCCAGACAAGCACACAACATCCTCAGAGCAATATTTAAAGGTGATGAGATCAAAGGACACTCTTCATATCATAACTCTGAAGAGCCTAATGCAAAACTAGTCTTCTGAAAGCTCACTATTAGATTTCTAAATAAAATACATGGGAAGTTAAAGTAATTTTAAGAAGAAAATAAGCTGCTTACCTTAATTTTAAAATAATGACTCTTGTTTGCAGGGTTCTGCAAAGTTTGTGAAGCAATTTAATGAATACACTATCATTTGAATCCCATAAATCAAATTTCTCAGATGAAGAAAATTAGAATCATAACTGAATGTATTTGCATTGTTAAAGCAGTAACAAACTAAAAATAACAAAATAAAACAAAATAAAAACAATAACAAAAGCAATAAAAAGAAAGACTTCAATTCAGGTTTTATAACTTGTGAACTCTGCTCTAGAAAGAGTTTCAAATATATTGCATACCACAAATAATAACTGGGTAATTAGTATCACAAAGTCTCACTATGACCTTAAATATTTTGTTTAAAATTTTTAATTTTAAAATACTCCTGCCATGCATAAGTGAAAATTATCATTCAGAACAATTCTCCCTTTTGTAATGTAGCAGGATTGGCAGAATTTATGTTCACCAAGGCCTTTAATAGGAAGTAGTCTTTAATTATGCCAGCATAAAGCCCAGGTTGGAATTTCTTGTCCAAATGCCTGAGTTCTGAACAAGAAGGGTTTTCTCTTTTATATGGTTTAGCCCCTTTGTCTTCCTTATATAGTTACATGCATACATTTTATTGTATATTCTCATGTTACATGGTGACCACAGGAATTGGTACAGTGCTGCACATAGATACATAGTTGTTGATGATGTTCTCCTCCAGATACATACTGAGCTGCAACTGTCCGGCAAAGGTCAACATCATTGCTCTGTACTAACAAGCAGAAGCTGAAATGGTTACATAAAAGCAGACAGGGACTACAGTTGCGGCATTTACAGGCAAGCAGATAACAACTACACTTCATTCCCAGGACAGATTCCTTCCCTCTTCTTCTGACCTTGGGAAGACCTCTACCACAGACTTCATCATGTCAGTTAGAAACAAGTTTAATTAAAAGGCAATGGCCTCTGCTGCAGTAATATATTAAGTTTTGGGAAACCAAGAATTCAACAAATTTATTTACTCCAAAGAAATGCAATTATCAACGCTCTACTCCCATTTACTGCCCAGGATATGCCTAGTTCTTGTAGAAGAACAAAACTTACAACAATTACTCTGTCTCTCTCTCACTCTCTTTTCCCTCTCTCGCTTTCTCTCCTTTTCCTTCCTCTTCTTTCTGCTCTTTTCCTCAGAGAAATCTCTTTGCTTGTTTAAGAAAGTTTGTGAAAATTGTGCCTGGCTCTGTCCACGTGACCTTCCTGGTGCTGCATCTGCCTGACCCTTTTACTCTTCTTAGAGAAAAGGAAACACAGAATTAACCTAATGAAACTCCTTACTTGTATTAGCCACAATGAACTAAGGGCTTGGAGAATGTAGTCACACAATGGGTCAAAATCAGAGCACCTTGTTGAAGGGCTTTTGTTTCCTGAAATAGAATTTTTATCATGCAATTATTAGGAAGTTTTAAACATTCCATTTAAGGTATTAAACAGTTTCTGTTAAATTTGGATTTTCCATTGCAAAGTTGGGATGTCTGAAAGGTTGTGAAATTTCTTGATCACCTGTTCCTGATGATGGTGAGCAAATCTCTGTCTCGTTCCAGGGACACTAAAATGGTCAAGGACAATGTGTTTTTGCCTCAATCTCTTAGTCTCAGTGCAAAGATAAACTTGGGTTTTAATTCAACACACAATCTCTTGCCCTCTACTTTTGGTTACCATAAAAATCCTTAATGAAGACTATATGGGACCATAAGAGTTCAAAATCTATTTCCCAGGTTCCTTGGCCAAGAGTGAAAATTTGAGATGGGTGTATTAGGACCCTGCAGAGGAGTAACCTACTGTGATATGCAGAGATGCGTAAGAGGATATTGCTTTAGGAATTTTTTCAGATGATTTATGGAGGCCAGGAAGGCTCATAAGTTGGCACCTGCAAACTGGAGTCCCAGGAAAGTCTCTGCTGCCATTCAGTCTCAGTACCCATACTGAGAAACAGAGGACCCAACAGGTTAACTGCCAGTGTAAGGCTGAACACCCCAGGAGGGAGGAAGGGGGACTAAATGCCAAGTCCTGGAGCCCAAACGTCCCCGTTACAGAAGCTCCAATATCCAAGGAAGGGAAGATTGATTCCAGCTCAGGCTTAGTGGGTTGGATCATGTCCTCCCACAATAGTGAGGTGCTTCTTTCCTCAGTCTGTTGATTCAAATGCTAATCTCTTCCAAAACATTCTCACAGGCATATCAGGATTAGTATTTTACCAGATACCTAGATGTCACATGACTGTATTAACATATGTGCAGCTTTAGAACTACGTTAGAGAAATTCCATGTACCCTTTACCCATTTCCTCCTGGCAGAAACCTGTTGCAAAACTACATACA